TTAGCGCCTTTAAAGGCCTAAGGCTTTTGACTACACTACTGTGTATAAATCTATTCCTCCTAGCTCATACTACTACTAAAATTTCACTATCCATATTCTGATGTTTGCTAAGGAGATAAGTAGCCCATAAAACAATAGCTACAAAATATTAAGATATCCACAACCCGTACAGTATTAGACTATTAGCATCAAGGACCACTATTTTGCCTGATCGATATGAAACAAGCAATATGTTGCAGTTCGGGCATGATTCCATACATGGATGACCCCCATTTCAGACGATCCATTCCAGCCCACTCAAATGGGTCTACTATGACCTTTTTAGTTAATGCTTTTATGGCATGCATTTGTGAGCCCTCTTCACCTAAAAGCGAGTGTTTTGCCTCCAACTACCATGTCGCTCAGCGTATAGCATCAACAATTTACGCTTCCTCCTCCTTTCCCTCTTCCTCTTCCTTTACCACCTCCTCTTCTTCCCTTCTCTTTCTCCTTCCTATTCCTCGTTGTGCTTCTTCCTCTACCACCTCCTCTTCTTCTATCCTTTTCCTTCCTCCTTGCCCCTCCTCTTCCTCCATCGTCCCTTCTTCTTCTCCTTCCTCTTTGAAACACCAATATGTACCGACATACCATGTGTTGATACACAAGTACATAGTTTTATGTAAGGTTCAAAATTTCATACCATACCGGTGTATCGAGCTTTGCTTGGTACGGTACGATATGGCATACCGAGCGATATGCCTATATATATAATACAAAAATATATATTTTTATAAAAAAAATATATAAATAATATATAAAAATATAAAAATAATATAAAAAATATTTTAAAAAAGGCGTACGTAGCCTCAACAACATCGCCTCCTCCTCTTCTCCTCATCTACGGCATTCTGTCACGGACTTAGCTGATTTCACCTAAGTCGTGCGGCACCTTTGCGTATCCGTCCGCAAAGGTCAACCTCCCCGAAGCCTCCCATGGTCTCTTAGGACCCAAAAAAGAGAAAACGGATTAGAGAAAACGCCTCACTTGGGATCCATCCACAAGCAAACATTTCCGAAAACACTTCATAGACAATGCAAATTACAAACAGACTTTACAAGTTCTGAACAGTTGCACAACAAAGGGTCAAAATGGTCCATTATAGATCGAAATCTCTCACAAGTGTCCACATGACACAACCTTTATTTACAAGCCTAAAGCGGCCATCAACCCAACTAAAATGGGACTATTAACCTTCGGTCGTCCCTCTACATGCTATGCAAAGCATGAACATACCAAAAGACACGGACATACACAATAAAATCTTACAAGTAGGGTATATGATATGACAAATCACTTATATTATGTGCATCATTATATATAAGATTCACACACTATTACTTGTAACCACAAGGACACAAATTTAGCAATTTACTGAACTCATCATTATGGGAAACTAGTCAAACATAACAAGTGCAGCAATTAACGACATGTCTTTTATAGGTTTCAAGACTAGCATGTCAACTTTCTGTAGGATGTGAGGACCAAACTTCATCATTATGATAAAAGATGGGTCTAGCTTGGATACACAATAGTGAAGCTTAGGCAGTTCCCATTGTCATCTTGAGGTCAGGTTCAACATGCCAACAAGTCCAAACCCAAAGTTCAGGCAACATAGAGAAAGAAAGCAAACAGATATTTAGAACAATCAGTACCAAAAGACAGCCTTAATTCTAATATATCCACTAATTAAGGTATGGTCTTCTATTTGGTGTTGAGGGGGTAGAAGCAGTATGCTTGCCCTCTTCACCAAAGAATTCAGCCCTAACTTGGTTTGACTCCCATAAAATAAATGAAGAATAAACCCATCTAGATACAAAAGTGACCATGCCTTGTTCACTAAACTACCATACGAATTTGACCAAGTACTAGGAGTTGCATAATGTTGCAAAAGTTTCACAGAAGATGCATGGCAACAAATATGAACTGGTATACCATCTTCATTATCATATCTCTATAAAGATAAAAGCATAATACTTGATAAAAATGGAACCATAAAGACAGTCCTATCAAAGTTTATTATATAAGCATGCCAATAGGTTGGACATTTTAAGGAAATGCCAAGCCTTTTTTGAAGGCTGACCTTGGAATGCATATGAAAAGATTAGATGTGAAAATAAGTAAAATAGTTTCTATGATCCTCATCAGTAAATTTCAAAGGATCGCATTCAACTGATATTACCTACATAAAGTAAATGTGATCCTATGCAGATTTGGTATGTTGATATTTGTAGATGAAATGCCTTTAGCCAACCTGAACTTCTTGTTGTTTATTCTAGCGCTGCCTTAATGATGAGTTTCCCCCAAAATTTCCATTCTATTGAACTTTACATGGGCACTCAAGGCCTAAAGCAATACAAGGCATCTAATTCAAGGGGAAATAGTATTTACCTTGACTAAAGACCACAAGTGCTACATAACCCATGCTCTTCATGAAAATTAAATAATAAAGACCCTTATGGGTAAAACTTCAATCTCCTGTATGAACTAATGATTCAAAACATGTAGCTATCATGCAAAAATGAGATGCTTATTAGAGTCCTACAGGGAAATCCATGCAAATGACCTTAATTTCCACTAGTTCAATGTTTGACGAACTGATACAATACCAGCCTTGTTTTTATCTGGCAGTGCATTACAAATCACATGTGTACTTTTAGCAGTTCATTTGATGATATAAATTCAAATTGCAACTTCCCTCAAGATTTATTAATTAAAAATTTCAACCAAAGATGAGACAATAAATGGCCTGTTAGCATAATGTAATTTGATGGATTTATAACAAAGGAATCTAAATTCACATAACAACCATATCTCAAAACTCAATTAGCACAGTGCAAGCTAAGGATGCTCCCAAGAACAACCATATCCCATGTAATGCTAGCGCTATTTGTATAAACCTACAAAGCGAAAAATAAATGAGAATAGATTGGCAGAAATAGTTCTTGTTCCCATTTTTCTCAAACACTCGCTTCATGACTTCTTGGGTGGCTCTAGGTATTAGAAAAGTGGAGATCACTATAACTTGCTAGCTTATTAGCTTTTGCATCCATGTTTCTGCATGAAACACCAATATCATTCCAGAGTTATGGATCATTTCCTAGTTTAAAACACTTAAAATTGTCACTTACTCAATTAATCTTTTGCATTTTGTTTTGGAAAAAAAAATCTTTTGCAGGCTTGTCTGCACAAATGGATCCAAAGCCTACAAGATCAACCACTACAGAAGCTTTCATCACCAAAGTACTTGAACCCCTAGACTAACATCCATGCAGCTCGACTAATTGCGTTCAAAACAAAAGATAGACAGTGGGTGGTCAAGCGAAATAGTACATGTCTGCATGCATGATGCAAAAGTCATTTAATTTTATTAGACCAAAAAAACTATAACATGATAATTAAATGATCAAAGATCTTGATGATGAAATCCAAGTTCTAGGAACTTCCCCTATTAGCAATCTGTGTTGTTCAATAAAGCTCAAAACAACAAATGTATATATAAAATGCACGTATGTAGAAGTTAGACACTAACAAACAGAAAGAACAGGACGTTAACATCAATTCATGGAAATAAAATTGGCCATACAATTCAGTGAAATCCTAAGATTTCAAAAACATTTGTCGTGTGAAAGCATCAAATCAGATCGCTATAGGTTTAATTACACAAGTTACATTTAACCTTGCTTTTGGTGTAGCTTAGGTCTTTAAAAACATGGATTTCTATTGAGTTTTCAGTTTATTTTCTTTCACTAAGAAAACAAAACTGACAAGTAAACTTTTATAGATTATATGGCTTTAAAGACGTGAAAGTCTATTAATGTTTCAGAAAAGCAGTCTTTTATTCTGACTTAAGCCATAGGTTTGATTACAGAAATTATATGTGTTCCAGAATCGACTTTTGGTGTAACTTATATGGCTCTAAAAACATGGACTTCTACTAATGTTTCAGTGCATTTTCTTTCACTAAAATAAGGACTAAAATAATATTAATTTGCCTTTTATGAAAAATTCAAGTTAATATATATATATATATATATATATATATATATATATATATATTAAAAATCAATGTTAATTTTCAGTAATAGCTTGTTCAAACCCTTTCATCTTCTACTTACTACATATATCTTTGGGAATTAAAATTTCCCAAAATCATCCTTAGATTCACCTTAAGAAGATTAATTATGTTACAATGAAAATTTAAAAACAAAGATAAAAGAGAGCCAATGAAAAAGAAAGAAGGACTAGGAGGAAGAAGAGTGATAATGTAATATCAGAGAAAAAGGGATGGAACATTAGAATTAAACAAATAGGAAGCAAGACAGAAGTAAATAAAATAGAGAAAAATAAAATCAGTCAGAGGTAATCCAATGCTGTTACTACCACCTCCATCATCATACAAGCTCAAGCTCCGCACATGCATCAAATCTCTTATTTTTGCTTATGTTCCTAATGTTGTGACTATGCAGTTACATTTTGGCTTCAAACAAGTAAAAGCTAATCATAACAGAATTCTAGACTTTATCACTCCAAGCATGTTCTACTCTCATCTATAAGTTTCAAACACCATGCAATCGAGGAGAAAAACCTTTATGACCTATCACCGTAAGATACCATTAACCATCACCATGGACCTGTTACCAGGCGAACTGCTTGGGAATGTGTAGTTGGATCAATGTATAAAAACAACTTTACATGACAATCAAATGGATGCAAGTGAATGGAAGCTTAAACGAAGCTGTTATGTGATTTCTGTGTTTATCAAAGATGTAGCAGTAGAATTATCTAAAATCAATTGAGTTAATCATGAAATATATAAAGGATCCAACAGTCAAACCATGCAAGTAGGCACCCTTTAGAAGCAAAACTTTGGACGCTGAATTTATAATAGTAAAGTTGGTAAAGCCACTCAAAATAGGACATGAGCAATCAACAAATTCACATACAGGAAAAGAGAACACACCATAATGATACTGAGATCTTCTTGTGGGATATTCTCCAACGAGACCTGCTTAATCGCCACAAAGTCTCCATTCTCCAGGTCCAGGCCCTTATAGACCCGTCCGTACGCCCCCTTCCCAATCTCATCGCCAAGCATCTGAACTCCGACCAAAATGCGAACAGAAGGATAAGCTTGAGAAGAGAACAAGCACGATTTTCCCTGAAAGAGATGAGGGCACCGACATATTTATTGTCGAGGGTCTTGGATTTGTGGTAATGAGTGGTGGCCGCCTGCCGAGACATCTTCGCCGGCGTCCGAGACCGTCGCGAACCCTAAAACCAGCCTTCTGACGACTCTAGCGGCGATTCAAAGGGGAAGATCCTCGGATTCCCCGTGCGCGGGGAAAATCCGTCAGGGAATCACCGGCATTGACGGAACTCTACTCCAACCGCCATGGGCGGGAAGGGCCGAAGACCAAATGCAGGCCGAGATGCGAGAATCTTGGGGAATTCAAGCCCTGGGCGACGCCCACAGCGCCCAAGCCTTGAAGGGACCGGAGAAGAGGAAAGAGGACGAGGAGAGCGGAATCGACCACGTTGGTGTTGGGGGGGGGTGTCGCTTCCTGCCCCGCTCGGATGGAATGGAATGGGGAGGGGAGGAGAAAATGGAGGCCGAGGGAAGGAGGTCATTTAAAGGCAGGGCTGCGTCATGCACAGAGAGAGAGAGAGAGAGAGAGAGAGAGAGAGAGAGGGTGAAAGGGAAAAAGACAGTGGAAATGTAAGAAAGGAAATTGCAGGGAAGCGTGCGGGCACTGGAATCCAAACCAATTGGCTTTCTGATCCGCTTGTGCGGGTGCCAGTTAAAATGACTTGCAAGCTCCGACGATCAGGATAACATGAATAAAAAATATTTTTTACTCTGATTCGAGCCCAGCGTATCTGACCAACATAAATTTAGATATAAATTATGATGAGAAATCCTTTTAATCGATACAAATGTAATGCCTACTCCTCTATAAATCCTTCCATCAAGTATAAAAATAAATTTAGATATAAATTATATAAGTTCAAATTTTATGTCTTCAGCTGGTGTCTGTGTCATTTTTCATCGCACGATGTGTCGTGGAGCTATTATGTTAATGTCTCGTGGGCCCCAGCAACCAGGATAGCAAAATTATTTTTTTTTTTTTGCTGCTGAACCATTTGATACAACAAGCCTAAGCCTAGAACGATTCACTGTAATCCCCCACCCCTCCCCTAATTTTTCTCTTTTTTTTTACAAAAATAAATGATGAAAAATCCTTTTACTAGTGTCTCTCTACCCTTTTTCTCTATTCATGCATTAATCATGCACAGAATGAACTCGGATAACAATTAGAAACTTAAATCGAGCTTATGTGTAGGTTCAAATTTATACCTTCGACTGGTGTCTGGGTTATCTTTCGTCGCTCGATGCGTCGTGGAGCTACAGATCATCTTTGGTTGCACAATGTGTCGGTCATACAGCCAATCTAGCTGAAAGCTCATCTCCAGACTGATATCAACAAGACAAGATATTTAAAAGGATTCGACTAAAAATGACTCACAAATTGGGTCGGAAGCATACTACCCATTAACGATCCTTATGATGACAGAGAGGAATACTGACGACCATAAGTAAATAAGGTCCCCTTAGCAGAAGATGTACATGGGTCTATTCAAAAACGAATGAATTTAACCAATGGTAGATAGTTATTTCATAGGCATGAAAAATCCTCGATAATGGTGTGGCATAACATTCTTTCCGTATGATTTAAGGGTGTCCAACATTCTTTCCGTATCAACTAGTTAGATATAATTCAAATTGACCTCAGATTTCCTTTTATTGATGATAAATAGATAAATATTAGAAACTTGGACCTCCCTTCCATGTCTTTTTATTGAAAATGGAACAACATATTTAATGGTCCATAAACGATCAAGACTACAGCGAAACATATAAAAGATGCATGCATGACATTGTCCCAATGGGTTCTTCTTCCGGCTTAACTTAAACTGCCTAATGGTCACAGTTAATCCTCCTGGCTCTCCGTAACACCTGTGTCTCTCCGGTACGCTCAGATGAGATGCTTCTAACGATGTGGATCTGAGCCCCTAACACTACCAAAACATACCACAAATATTTGATGGAATTTTCATCACCATGGGGTTTAGATAGATACTTGCAGTATAGTCATATTTTCCATCAAGAATAACTATAGACTCTAGACATGTTCGTTGAATTGCACCGAGGAGGTGGTCAAGGTGACAGTTGTGATGCTTGTTGGTAGCCCCATTTTACTCACAAATTAAGGCCCCACAGACAAAAGTTGTGTCTGCAAAAATATAATCAAGACAGAATACACAATTTAGCATGCCTATATCCATGAAAGAAAGACAATAAGCTGACAAGCAATATATTTATCGTCTCAAATGTGGCAACTAGATGAAGAAGTTAGTTCAAGTTTTTAATTCTCAAAGTATGATTTCTCAAAGTTTTTAATTCTTCTATTATCTGCATGAAATTAATCCTCCATGGTATGCCATTGTTTACATTACTTACCCCAAGAACAGGAGAAAGAATACTCCACTTTGATGAAGACCAAAAGGAGTTTTCAGTAGTGAGATTAATGATCGTCTGAAATCATATAGGTCCTTTCTCATCTCTAAATCTGATACGTAATTCAATCAGTTTCAAATTCCCCATTCCACATAAAAAAGATTGTAACCAAATTTAATGGACAATTTCACCAACGTAATACTTTGAATCTGAAATGACTCAATAAGCAAAAGAGATAAATCTTTATCAAATACTTTTTTGGGGTTTTCTAAAGCAGGAAAAAAGTTGTTCTACACTTGACTAGTAACTAACAAGCACAAATAACTTACATGACTTATAAGAGACATCTAGAGCATCATAAGAGACTTATCTACCATATATAAATATTCTTTACAATCTAAATCAAGCTATATATCAACTGGCTCTCCCATAGATTATGCTAAAGAAGCATACTCACAGAGGAGGCCCGAGATGAGCTGGAAAAAGGATATCCCTCCAGCTAAACCAACAATCATCAGAGACCACTCCATAGCAACCTAAGTCCATGGCCACCCACCAGTTTTGGTGTCTCACACAAACAAAGTTATTTCCTGGCTGTCCACACATACATTTTGATACCAATTTCAAATGCTCTGTGAAATAAACAGAGAATAAATGTTTTGAATTCTGACACTGACTTATCTCAACAGGTGTATATGGCTAAGGAGATTTAATCACAGCCACTGCTATATGCTCTGACAGCGTATAGATCAATTTGAAAGAATCAGACACGTTAGCCATCTTAGGACCCCCCAGATATCACATCCCAAAGAAATAAACAAGCGGCAGCCAGATCGATGGACTGGATCAAGTAGCAGTAATAGAAACTGATAGAGCTCAAAATTCAGGATATTCAGATACTCTCTAGCTGCGAATATTTCTTCCTGTTATGCAGACAAGACTAAGATCAGAATCGCATAAAAAAATCTCCTGTTTTGGGAAGTCTTATCACTTTGCACATGATCATTGCCAGCTTTAACTGATTGCCTTATAGAAGAAAGCTTTGAGATGATTCTTATGTTACCTCCATGTTACCATCATGTTTCCATGATGGTCCTTGGAAACAAAAGAAAGACTATACGATACAAAGTTGATTCTCCCATTTGACTAACACTATTCCATAGTCTTTGTCTCATTTTGCCACATATAACAGATGGCCTGAGGCATAATTGCCTACCACAAATGGTTTTTACCTGAAAGCGCACCGTACTGGATACTTCTTGTTGCACCAAAATAAACAAGAACCCCTGGCAACCATCAATCCTCTTTGCCTTGTCGACCAATCATCACCATTATTTGCGTTCGCAACAAATCATCACCTTGTCTAGGACTGACCAACAAAAGAGGTGATACATAAATCTGTTCCTCATTTGATGTGCATCAGTACCTTATTCTGAAATCTACGGCCTCTCTGCTGTTCGTCAATCCAACTCAATCCTGGAAGCTTGTTGAATTTTCTGCCCCTTATCATTGCTCTAACTCTTGCAGCATCCTCCCATTGTCCTCTCTCAGCATATATACTGGATAGAAGTATATAATTCCCTGTATTATTGGGCTCCAGCTTAAAGAGCTCTTTTGCAACACTCTCTGCAATCTCAATATTTGCATAAGTCCTACAAGCTGCAAGCAATGCCCCAAGGGCTCCGGGATGAGGCCCCATCGGCATGCTCTGAATCATTTCATAAGCTTGTTTAAGCCTCCCTGCCCGTCCAAGCATGTCTACGACACAAGCATAGTGGTCGGCCCTCCGATCCATACCATAGACACGGAACATGCTTTCCCAGTACTCGAGCCCCTTGTCAACAAGCCCTGCATGGCTACAGGCACTCAGCACGCCAACAAACGTGATCGGATCTGGCTTGATCGCCTCCTTTTGCATCCTGTCAAAAATGTCAAGCGCCTTCAATTCATGTCCATGGGACGCCAGTCCATTGATGAGAGCCGTGTATGAGTATGCGTCCGGGAAATGTATCTCCTCGAATGCATGAAGGGCTTTCTCGACATTCCCGCACTTGGCATGCATATCCACAAGTGCAGTGAGAACACGCTCATTCCTGTCGATCTTCTTGCGGTCAACATACGACCCAACCCAGTTCGCCAACTCCACACTCCCTAACTGAGCCAATGCAGAAATGACACCGACCATTGTGGCTGCGTCTGGCTCAATCCTCTGCCGTTCCAACCGGCGGAACAGCACAAAAGCCTCCTTAGGCATTCCACATTGGGAGTACCCGGTGATCATCGCAGTCGATGATACCAGGTTCTTTTCGGGCATTCGGTCGAACAGTTCTCTGGCGGCAACGACAGCGCCAGTTTTACAGTACCCAACCACCATGACGGTCCAAGAGACGGTGTTTTGGACCGGCATCCGGTCGAAGACGGCCCTGGCGGAGGACAGGTCGCCGGCATTGGCGTAGCCGACAATCAAGGCGTTCCAGGATATGACGTTCCGGTGGGGCATGGCGTCGAATAACCGCAGGGCGGAAGGCATGTCGGCACCAAGACGAGCGTGGGCGCCGAGGAGGGCGTTGAAGGAGACGACGTCCTTGAGGGGTATATCAAGGAAGGCAGCGCGGGCAAGGAGGAGGGAGCCGCACTTGCCGTACATGTCGACGAGGGCGTTGGAGACGGGGAGGACGGCGAGGAGGCCAGAGCGGAGGGCGCGGGAGTGGAGCTCAGAGCCAAGGGGGAGGGAGGGGATGGCGGCGGAGCAGTTGAGGAGGAAGGGGAGGGTGAAGCGGCCGGGGTGGAGAGAAGCGCGGGTCATGAGGAGGTAGAGCCGGAGGGCAGCAAACGGGGCGGAGGTAAGTGGAGACTTGGAGAGGGAGCGGATGGCGACATTGAAAAGGGGAAGGAGAAAGGCAGAAGAGAAAGAGGCACCGGAGAAGTAGCGCATGATGTGAGCGTGGATTTGGTTGAGCTGGGGGAGGGGAATCGGGGTCGCCGAACCGAGGATGGCGGCCAGGCGATCGACATCGGTGGCAGCGGCGATGGTGAGCGAGGATGCAGATGGGATCGGCGAAGAGAAGTTGGCGGTCGCCAGTTGGACGTGAAGCGGAAGGAGAAAGGCCGAGAAAGGGAGAGGAACGAGGGAGAGATGACGTTACCAGTTGCCGTTATAATCAAACCTGG